GAATGCTATAACGAACAAGGTTCTAGAACCAATTAGATTCGTTATAGCATACCCCACTGTACCACAAAATTGGAGAAATAGTAAGCAAAAATCGCGTTATAGCAAACAAGCGTTCGCGTTATACAAATATCGTTCCTAATTCATAAATCGCGTTAGAGCAAATTCGCGTTATCAAAACACGCGTTATAGCAGAACTCACTGTGTATATAACTGGTCGGAATTACTGGACTTTAATTTCTCACTTGACTTGGGGTTTATTAAAGATTATTAGATGGTAATTGCTGTGGAAGTGCCCCTTTGAGAGAAATCCCGAACCAGCACAAGAACACTTAAATTTACTAAACAAAATGAATTGTCCGTGAGCCGTGGAAGGACAGCGTCTGTGACTGGGATGAATGAGACACACTGTAAAATTTACTCTTATATTCCCTCCAACACTACAAACACAATCAAATAATGGTACACCAATATGCGCACCCTTAACCTGAACTTAAAATACTACTCTGGGGAATAAAAGTTTTACATGATGTTGAAATTATTAGAAACTCAGGCAATGCCTCATTAGAGGACAATAAGTTTAAAGTATTAAGGAATGTTGCTTGTACACATGAAACAGGCCTTAAGGTCTTTCAACAAAATAATATCAACCACTGAGAAAATGGTATAAAAAAATAGAAATTAATAACTCGACAATGAATAGGCCTTAAGGGCACTCAACAAAATAATATGAACCACTGAGAAAATGGTAAAAAAATAGAAATTAATAACTATAATGAATAGGCCTTAAGGGCACTCAACAAAATTATATCACCCCAACAGATGCACACTTCCTAACCTAACTTAAACACTACTCTGGGGAACAAAGGTTATACCTGAGATAGGAATTATAAGAAAATATTAAATGCACACAGCATACATTAGTAACTGAAAAAATAGTATTAAGTACACACAAAAATATTATCACTATTATTAGGAAGTTACTGAGTCCACCAATACCCGTGAACCATGCTTCCTGACCTAACACATAGGTTCCACCTGCACTTCGTAGTTTTTTAAGGCACAACCAACAGGCACCCGTAGTTTAAGGCCCAAACCAGCCTTTCTCAACCTTGGAAATGTACCTCTAAGGTCCACTGGACTCTTGGTCCCAGTGTGTGACCCTGTATCACTCAGCTGGCTTCACTTTACCCCCAGTACATCCATGAAACGGAAGGGAGTGAGCCACTCAGACCTTGTACAGTTGAGAGAAGCTTTAGCTTCCCGGTAGTAAAAGGTTTTCACTAAGCTGCTTGAAGATATGTGGTATTGTGAGCCGAGGTAGAGGAGAGTTGATGACCCCAAACGATCGTCACGTCGTTAGTTGGGCACCTAGACAGCTGGGTTCACTCCAACTCTCACCATACTCAACAGGTGGCTCAAACCCAGGTCAGTGGATGGTCATACAGCTCGCTTCACCACTCGTGTCTCATACCGCCAGTGGATGTTATCATACCGCGATGAGTCTACAGAACCCTGAAAAACCCGGGCTGTTAGCTATTGTCTCACATCACCGTTTGTTCCTACCGCCCTATCAAGCTTTGTCTGAGATTGAATAAAACTTACTTGTTAATACTGATGTTAAATAAACGAAGGAACCAGGTCACGCGATCCGCCTCTCCTGGGTACAGCACAGAGGTGGTCCTTGACCTCTCTCACAGCTCCCCAGCCACGCTTGCTCACTGGTTCACGCTTTCCAGGAGTGACTTATTTACCAGACGATTAAACTTAATTAGGACGTACGCAACATTTTCAGACTGGGAAACGATCTATAATTATTTTCAATTTTATAACTGATATTTAATTTCATGATTCGCGTCCCTATTAACTCGGTAAATTACATTTAATATCGTTTAGGCCTAGTTCCACAACCTCTCGCTACGTGCGGGGAGCGAGGTCTTCCCTCAGACGACCTTGAACTCGGCATCGCCAATGGCGTGGCATGGCATTTGAAATTACACTGAAATTTCTGAATATTACATGTGTGTGTGTGTGTGTGTGTGTGTGTGTGTGTGTGTGTGTATATATATATATATATATATATATATATATATATATATATATATATATATATATATACATATACATATACATATACATATACAGTAGTACCCCGCTTAACGCGGTCAATAAAACCCACAGGGTACCGTGTTAAGTGAAAACCGCGCTAAGTGAACAACAGAACATATGGGATTAATTCCAATAGAAACTGGCCCGACCCCCAAACTCCACTTTTTCCGACACAATACCTATGTTCTAGTAAAAATAACATCTTAATTTTATGATGGTACATGCACACAATTAATACTTAAGAGAAATAGAGAAATACAGTCGTCAAGTTAATGTCCATTCAAATAATGGCCTCGACTCCCTCCCCCTCTTCTCACACTACACTCACTGGCTCTTCCCTCTGAGAAATTTTGGGGGGAAAACCACTAAATTTTAATAAATAATACCTCAAACTAAAGTTAGGATAATACAATTGACATTGCTGGATTCCTTGTAAGACCAGGAATATTTTGAATATAAATGTCATATATTTTGCACAAAAGATAACATATTTACTCAGAGAAAACATTATATCTAAAATTTGTATGTCTAATGCAAAATCTATGATGTTTATATTCAAATTGATCATCAAATTGTAAGAATTCCAGCAATATAAATTATATTCTGGCCGGGTAATTTGTATGAATTTTATGAGCTAAAACAAATATCTTCAGTTAATAAAAAAAAATATTCTTTACGACACTATCTGTCAATCAAAGTACCCCACCTTGCCTCCCCCCCTCTTCCAACCACGCCAGGTGGTCGGTCTGTCCCAACCCTCCCCCCACCCCCCACCAATCCTCCCTTCAAGAGAAAGAGTGGGTGAAAAAACTAAATTTTAACATTTAGTATTAAATAATACCTCAGATTAAAGTTAGGATAATATAATTGACATTGCTGGATTCCTTGTAAGACCAGGAATATTTTGAATATAAATGTCATATATTTTGCACAAAAGATAACATATTTACTAGAGAAAACATTTTATCTAAAATTTGTATGTCTAATGCAAAATATATGATGTTTATATTCAAAATGATCATCAAATTATAAGAATTCCAGCAATGTAAATTATATTCTGACAGGGTAATTTGTATGAATTTTATGAGCTAAAACAAATATGTTCAGTTAATAAAAAAAAAAATATTCTTCACACAGTAACAGATGGTCGGTTGGTCCCTCCCTCCCCCCACCCCCCACCAACCTTGTCCCTACCAGATGTGGGAAAACCAGAATATTTACCTTTTTAGTAATAAATAATACCTCAAACTAAAGTTAGGATAACATAATTGACATTGCTGGATTCCTTGTAAGACCAGGAATATTTTGAATACAAATGTCATATATTTTGCACAAAAAATAACATATTTACTCAGAGTAAACATTATATCTAAAATTTTTATGTCTAATGCAAAATCTATGATGTTTATATTCAAAATGATCATCATATTGTAAGAATTCCAGCAATGTAAATTATATTCTGGCTGGGTAATTTGTATGAATTTTATGAGCTAAAACAGGCAGTCAGGCAGGGTGGCGGGTGGGGCGAATCTAAAAATAGCTCTCGAGCCGGACACTCACCGCGTATACGTGGAAAAAACCAGCGTTAAGTGAAAGTTCAGCTCTGGCGAGGCACCGCGTATACGGTAAAACGCGCTAAGTGAAACCGCGTTAGGCGGGGTAATACTCTATATATATATACAGTATATATATATATATATATATATATATATATATATATATATATATATATATATATATATATATATATATATATATATATATATATATATATATATATATATATATATATATATATATACACAGTCAGTTCTGCTATAACGCGATAGTTGTGTTCTTGTAAAACATCGTGTTATAGAAATTCGCGTAATAGAAATAACAGGGCTTATGGAGAAAATAGGGTTAGGTGCAGATTACTACTCGAAATCGAAAAAACTTTAGTAGTTAGCCTAACACAAAGGATAGCACAGTCTAAATAAATGTTATATTCATATCTAATAATGAAATCATACAGTAAATGTAACACTTTACCTTGAAAAAATATGAATATAACTTGATGAGGGAGAAGGGTGATTTTGAGGTTGATAACACCGAGCTTCTCTTCAAGTGTTATATCCTTTCTTTTACGATCATCACCGGGAATTCTATCACCAGAACGCTTCTTGTTGATATTCTTCTTTACTATATTCACAGTTAATACAGTGGGGTATGCTATAACGAACGGATCCTACTACGAATATTCCTATAACGAACGGTTTTACCTATAAAATTGAGAATGCTATAACGAACGAAACTCCTACAACGAACATTGTTTAATTTTTTTTTCTAATTTATTGTTTTTTTATTACAAATATTAATGATATTCTTTATTTCAGGGGTTTAGATGCATATTTATGCACTTTTTTACAATTTTTACAATTTTATATTATATTTTTCAGTGTTAAGTTGTTGTATTTGGGGGCCTGGAACGGATTAATCCTATAACGAACGAATGCTATAACGAACAAGGTTCTAGAACCAATTAGATTCGTTATAGCATACCCCACTGTACCACAAAATTGGAGAAATAGTAAGCAAAAATCACGTTATAGCAAACAAGCGTTCGCGTTATACAAATATCGTTCCTAATTCATAAATCGCGTTAGAGCAAATTCGCGTTATCAAAACACGCGTTATAGCAGAACTCACTGTATATATATATATATATATATATATATATATATATATATATATATATATATATATATATATATATATATATATATATATATATATATATATATATATATATATATATATATATATATATATATATATATATATATATATATATATATATATATTTATTTATTTATTTATTTATTTATTTATTTTTTTTTTTTCTACCAGGTGGAGCAAATATCACTATGGGTTACTATAAGAACCCTAAGAAAACACAGGAAGATTTCTATGATGAAGATGGCTGCCGGTGGTTCCGTACTGGAGACATTGGTGAATTTCTTGAAGATGGATCTCTTCAGATTATAGGTAAGTGTTTCCTCAGGGGAATACAGTACAATCGATATATTTACAGTGGACCAGTGACCCAGGAGGCAGTTATAGGAACAATGCACTGTACCAGCTTTGTACTGTTTTTCTTTGCATTGATTATCTATTGTTGTAACCATGTAATTTAGCTTTTAAATAAGAAGACAATGATGTGGATATTCATTATTGTTAATGTGAAAAAATGGGAATTTTTAAAAAAATTTTACTGTCCATAGATCGCAAAAAGGACCTCGTGAAACTTCAGTTTGGCGAGTATGTTTCTCTTGGCAAAGTGGAATCAGAACTTAAAGTCAGTCCATATGTAGAGAATATTTGTGTGTATGCTGACCCATCAAAGAACAACATTGTTGCCATTGTGAGTCCAGTACAGAGAAATCTAGAAGACTTAGCACGTTCTCTAGGCAAAGAAGATCTTCGTAGAGAGAAGTTATGTCTGGATGATGACATAAGCAAGGCCATCATGCAAGAGCTCCTAGCAACTGGGAAAAAAGGTGGGTGATATGTTGCAGTTTTATACTTTTCTGCTATTACTTCCTTTGATCATGTTAGGCATCTCACAACCAAAGTGAGTTATCTTAATCCTTAATCCGTGGCTAAGGACCTCCCCCCATATTTGCAAAAATGGAAAGCAGATTAACATGAAACTTCCACCAATGATGACTGCTGTTTAAGGGTTCATTAGAGCCGTGAGCAGATGAAAGGAATTTAGTATCTTGAGAGTCCCGGTGGTGCTTCTGTTCACCCCTTGTAGCTTTTAATAGAATGTGGTAGACAGGCAGAGATAATATTACATCTGAAATTTAAGAGAAGGTTAAATATATGAGTACTGTATTGTAACTGTAGGATATATGGTGCACCTGTAGGCTTGAAAAAGTTCCACATAATTCCACTTGTTAACTCTCCTAACTGCATCAAAAGGCCCTTGCACTGCATTAGGAGCTTATTGTTACTGGTTGGCAGTAGGATCAAAGCTTTCTAACCGACTGTAAGCTGTCTATCCTTGGCTTTGCGATCATAATACATTTGATAATTGTCACCTGCTCTCGCTAACTCTTCATGAGCTACCTTACATGCATCTTGTTTTCTCTCTCAGATTAATCTGGTAATCATACACTGACCTAGAGTTTTCTTGATCTTCCTCATTTCCTCCCACAAGTTCCTTAACAGACTGAATGGTCCACGTACAGAGTGACCATAAATCAACTCGAAGGGAGAAAATGTGGTACTAGATTGGGGTACCTATCTATAAGCAAACAAAAGGAGATTTAAATACACAGGCCACTCTTTAGGTTGCTCATGACACATGCGCTTAAGCATCTTTAGTACCCCATTAAACCTTTCAAGTAAGCCATTACACATCGCATGACGTAAACTGTGTTCCTCGATCAAATAAAATTTCTTTGGGAATCCCTACCCTACTGAGCACATTAAGCAGTGCCTCTGCCACACTCACAGTGTCGCAAGACTTGAGCTCTACGGCCTCGGGATATCTCGTGGCGTAGTCTTATAAAAGTTCGAATATACAGAGTACCGTTATCCGTCACTAGCGCGCGATTCTAATGGTCCAACTAATTCTACTGCCACCCTCTGAAACAACTCGTCTATAATCGGCATTCTGCCTAATTTTGCACAGGGAACTCTACCCTTATCTACTGTCCTTTGGCACTGGTCACATGACCAATAATACCGTGTCACATCTGACGACACTCCTGACCAAACAAACTTACTGTGTATCTATCCATTACTGAGGCATGAAGCAACTCCATGACTGTTTTCCTCATCACCTGCGGCACCACCACCTGCTCATTACAACACCCATCAATCTCTACTACCGTATATCTCGGCCTATAAGGCGTCGGGGTGCATAAGACGGCCCCCCAAAATTTCCATTTAAAAAGTAGCTTTTGAGCTCTATTTGCTGTATAAGACCAGTACCCCAAATGTGACACTTACCCACTGACTCAGTAGTCCTTTACCAACCATCCTTGGTTTTTTAAAATACAGGTAGTTCTGCTATAACGCGATAGTAGTGTTCTTGTAAAACATCGTGTTATAGAAATTCGTGTAATAGAAATAACAGGGCTTATGGAGAAAATAGGGTTAGGTGCAGATTACTCCAAATCGAAAAAAAATTTCGTAGTTAGCCTAACACAAAGGATAGCACAGTCTAAATAAATGTTACATTCATATCTAATAATGAAATCATACAGTAAATGTTACACTTTACCTTGAAAAAATATGAATATAACTTGATGGGGGAGAAGGGTGATGTTGAGGCTGAGGAGTCATGAAACATCAAGCTTTTCTTCAAGTGTTATAGCCTTTCTTTTACGATCACCACCGGAAATGCGATCACCAGAGTGCTTCCCAGAGATATTCTTCTTTTCCATAGTCACAAAATTGGAGAAACAGTAATCAGAATTCACTGAGGACACTTAAAAACTTCACGTGTTTCAAACAAAGTGTGGAGTAAACAGAGCGCGCGGGTCTAAAACGCTATGTATTTTGTTTTTCTCTTATTTAAAACTTTACATTTTACATATACTGTACAGGTATACTGTATACATAAATATTACATAAATTATTTCTGCAATTCTTCACAAACAAAACACATAAATCAATTGAACATGTGATGTCGAACGTGACCTGTAAACACTGCATAACCCCGCACCAAGCCACAATGTACAGTACACTTTAAACGCTACTTATTTTGTTTTTCTCTCTTATTTAAAATTTTACAATTTACATATACTGTACAGGTATTTCTTCACAAACAAAACACATAAATCAATTGAACAAGTGATGTCGAACGTGAACTGTAAACATTGAGCCAAGCCACAACACTGTACAGTACACTTTAACCGCTACGTATTTAGTTTTTCTCTTTTATTTAAATTTTTACAATTTACATATATATATATATATATATATATATATATATATATATATATATATATATATATATATATATATATATATATATATATATATATATATATATATATATACATATA